CAAGATCCTGAAAAGAAAGGAGAAGAAAGAAGAAAGGAAGGAACACACACAGCTGGTCTCTCTCCTCCTCCCAGAGCTTAGGCTGCAGCTCCCAAACACCATGACCCTCTGCTTCCTTCTGCCGTATGTTCTGAACTTCCTACTGGTTCCAAGCATAGATTCCAAGATCCATGCTCATCTAACACATCCCGAGTCTACTCTGCCTCAGGGCCCTTCGTTCTCTCAGGCAATGGAGGGTAGGAAGCAGATCTGTAAACGCTGGATCTACTGCTCTCCCTGACTGGAAAGGTTGAATGGAAGGCTTTCCTGAGATGATTGCCCACCTTAGCACCAGTGCTCAAGCTGGGAAGTCCAAGGCTGCCTTCTCTAGCAGCCTCTTGCTTCACAAACCTCAGATCTTCTGTCCTAAGCTATATTTTTTCAGCATGCCAGGCATTCCTCGAGCTCATGGAGACTTTTTCCCTTTTGCTTATAGCCGACTGGAGTTGGGGTGGCTCTTCTTCCTCTTTTATCCTCTTATCTAGAGGGCTGGGTTGAGGTCAGTTGTTTCTTTTACAAACCTAATATGTAATATTTCTGGGTTTCACCTGTTTTGTAAAATTACAAAAATTTTATCTTGCAAAAATTTTATCTTTATTTTGTATTATGTAGTTTTCTCTTAAAATTTCATTTACAGAACTGGGAAGATAGCTCAGTGGTAGAGTTCTTGCCTCACATGCATGAGGCCCTGGCTTCGATTCCTCAGCACCACATAAGCAGAAACCCAGAAGTGGCACTGTGGCTCAAGTGGTAGAGCACTAGCTTTGAACTGAAGAGCTCAGGGACAGCGCCCAGGCCCAGAGTTCAGGACCGACCAAAAAAAAATTTTTTTTTTACAATTAGATATCACTCAAAACAACTTCAAAGCTGGGCGCCGGTGGCTCATGCCTGTTGTCCTAGCTACTCAAGAGGTTAAGATCTGAAGACTGCAGTTCAAAGCCAGCATGGGCAGGAAAGTCTGTGAGCTATCTTTCTAATTAACTACCAAAAAGCAGGAAGTGGAGCTGTGTCTCAAGTAGTAGAGTGCTAAAAAGAGCAAAAAAGCCCAAAGGAAGCATCCAGGCCCTGAATTCAAGCCCAAGGGCAGACAAAAAATAGTTAAAATTTAAAAATACATTAAGAATACATTTGAAAAATCATGAACATGTTGCTATGATACCTAGAAATACTATGCTGTTATTTCAAAGTTATACTTGCAGTTACCACCAGGTGGCACCCTAGAATTATGCACGAAAATAAAACTATATCTAAATGCATCATCTAATGAAAACTAATAATACAGCTCTTCCTGAAAGCAAATGATAACTAGAAAGCCAAGTGTAAGTAGTAAGTATGCTTACTCACATATATGTTTTATTTTTCCTAATGACTTTTACCTCTTCCTTGCCATCTCCTCCATAAACTTTCTTCTGTAACAACGATTTCTAATTAGTCCTCAAGCCAGCGATATATCAACCCACAACTTAAGTTCTTGGAAAAGTGTTCATCATTTGTAGAACATAGCTTGTGACTTCTCTTCAACCAACAGTACTTTGGTCTCCACTCCCACCCCCTTTTGTTTTGGTGCCGATGCTGGAGCTTGAACTCAGGTCCTGGGAGCTGTCCCTGAGCTTAGCACTTGAACCAGTGCTTGAACCACTTGAACCATAGCTCCACTTCCTGTTTTCTGGTGGTTCATTGGAGATCAGAGTCTCACGGACTTTCCTTTCCAGGCTGGCTTTGAACGGAGACCCTCAGATCTCTGCCTCCTGAGTAGCTAGGATGACAGGCGCGAGTCCCCAGTGCCCAGTCCTGAGTAGCTGCAATTACAAGTGTGAACCACTGGTGCCCGGCTCCAGCCAATTTTTATTAAAGCCAACTTCCCACGTATTCACTGAAATCTGTGAGCATCAAAATGAGCTTGCATTGAAAATGCTGGTCAACCTCTTATTTGGGAAAGTCCTTCCTGTTAGGGTTTGGTAACTTTCCTCACCAAATCTGTTCTCGCCTGCTGGATTGTTCCTGTTCAGTTTACTGTGGGTTCTTTTTCAGTCCTGCTTTACAATATTGTCTCCCTGTCAGTCTTACGCCCAGTAGTTCAGAGACTATCTCATCAATCCATCCTTGAAGTTCCACTAATGCTGTGTGAGCTGGTACAAGTAAGGCGTGGGTGCCTCCCGCCTCGTGTCCATCCCATGACACCTCATGTCCATCCTGTGCTCTGTGTTGTGTCCATATTGCCCCAAAGAGACAACGTAGATGAGGCCCGCTTGGAACCCTCTCTGTTGGGCTCTTTTTCCTCTGTGTGACCACTGCTCCCACCTGTCTCTTCTTGTGCTTTACCCCATCAAGGGCAACCATTTTTCTATCTGTGTAGACTCTGCTGTCGGATAAGAGAAAGAAGGGTGCTAGTTCCACCTCAGCACCCACCAGTGCTGATGCTGTGTCCTCAGCACCCACCAGTGCTGATGCTGTGTCCTCCTCAGCACCCACCAGTGTTGATGCTGTGTCCTCAGCACCCACCAGTGCTGATGCTATGTCCCCCCTCAGTACCCACCAGTGCTGATGCTGTGTCCTTCTCAGCACCCACCAGCGCTGATGCTGTGTCCTCAGCACCCACCAGTGCTGATGCTATGTCCCCCCTCAGTACCCACCAGCGCTGATGCTGTGTCCTCAGCACCCACCAGTGCTGATGCTATGTCCCCCCTCAGTACCCACCAGTGCTGATGCTATGTCCCCCTCAGTACCCACCAGTGCTGATGCTGTGTCCTTCTCAGCACCCACCAGTGCTGGTGCTATGTCCCCCTCAGTACCCACCAGTGCTGATGCTATGTCCCCCTCAGCACCCACCAGTGCTGATGCTGTGTCCTCAGTATCCACCAACGCTGATGCTATGTCCCCCACAGCACCCACCAGTGCTGATGCCGTGTCCCCCTCAGCACCCACCAGTGCTGATGCTGTGTCCCCCCTCAGTACCCACCAGTGCTGATGCTGTGTCCTCCTCAGCACCCACCAGTGCTGATGCTATGTCCCCCTCAGCACCCACCAGTGCTGATGCTATGTCCTCCTCAGCACCCACCAGCGCTGATGCCGTGTCCCCCACAGCACCCACCAGTGCTGATGCTGTGTCCTCAGCACCCACCAGTGCTGATGCT